CTCCATGCGGACATACATGCTCCTGCATCACTTTCCTGAGATGCGGCTCTGAGCATCCTTTACCCTCTGCATTGAGAAGCGTCACACAACCTGGAGGTCAACACGGTCCTTCCAGCTCATCCCTCAGGTTCCCTGCCCCCCAAGCTGCCTGTCCCTCCCCATCCCTCAGGGACATGGAGAGAAGAGGGTGGGCGCATCAGGTGAGAAATATAGCACTAACATCCCATCGTAGCCCTGACACTGATAGCAAGATACTGTCCAACAATAGTTGCTATGAAGTTTGAGTGAGATGATTTCTATAAAGTACACAGCTCCCAACAAGCTGCAGACAGAAGTTCAAAGAGCAGGAAGAAGGGAATGAATTTAGAAACTTGACCTCTGCCTTCACTCCTTTTTGTTTTGTATTTAAAATGAGTTTTGCTATTGTTTTTGGTCATTAAATTGTGTCCAGTTCTTTTATGACCCCATGGACTGTAGCCCACCAGGTTCCTCTGTCCATGGGATTCTCCAAGCCAGAATACTGGAGGGGGTTGCCATTTTCTTCCCCAGGGGATCTTCCCAACCCAGTGATAGAAACTGCATCTCCTGCATTGGCAGGCAGATTGTTTTTTTTACCACTGAGCTACCAGGAAGCCCCTAAAATGAGTTTGAATAGTGAAAGTTGCCCAGTCGTGTCTGATTCTTTACAACACCATGGACTATACAGTCCATGAAATTCTCCAGGCCAGAATACTGGAGGGGATTACCCAATCCAGGGGTCAAACCCAGGTCTACCTGCATTGCAGATGGAGTCTTTACCAGTTGAACCACCAGGGAAACCCAAGAATACTGGAGAGAATAGCCTAACCCTTCTCCAGTGGATCTTCCTGACCCAGGAATTGAACCAGAATCTCCTGCATTGCAGGCGGATTCTTTACCAGCTGAGCTACTAGAGGCAGTGACTATTAAAAAGATCAGTCATTTTCCCCAAAATCAGAGAATTTTATTCTAAAGTAATTTTTCTATTTCAGGGGCAGAGCTTTCAATGAGGTGTGGAGCTGAGCCAGTTAATCTTGGAGGTTTGGGAGAAGGGGATGAAATCACCCCAACTACTTCCCAGGGGTTTTGCTGCCGCATTCTGGATGAGCGGCGGGTGCCTGGGAAGACCCAGAGGGGCCCACCAGACTCAAGAGGGTGATGAGGATTTAATCTCCATGCCAGGAGCCTGACCCTAGAGACAGGATCAAGTCCCGTCTCTATGGGACCGGAATAACACACCATCCAAACTCTGTTCCCATGGATAAGACAACATGCGTGCACCCTGCCCACTCCATCAGACCCAGTTCTCCCAGGCAGCAAGGGGTGGGAAGTGGGGGGGTGGGGGAGTTTAATCTAGCACCCTCGAAAAATTAAAAATGATTAAACCTTTTAAATTATTAATAGGTATTAAAAATTCAAACTAACTCAGAAATTAAACATCTTCATTTGTAATGAGCCTTAAATATTGAAAACCACAAACCTCTGGAGGCTGGCTTTGTTCATTCCGTACCCCATGAACTGCCCTGCCCACCATGTGGACACCTGCCCGTGCAAGCAGAAATAGAGAGGGACAGCTGCTTTACTCGGGACCCAGATACCTAAAGGAGCAAGAGGGTCGGGAGGGCAGAGGGGTGGCTGCCAAGCAACACACCATCCAGCTGCACCCTGTTCACACGTGGCCACGTGATGGATGCTGTTGACGAAAGCAAGCCGGGGAACATCCTTGTCATCCCCTGGCAAGAGGCAGCTTGCTAACCATAGGCCTCACTTGAGCACAGAGAGAATGCATCAAATCTCCAGGAAGTCTGTGAACAGCATCCTTCATTAATCACCCTGGGCTGTCAGGCTGGGAAGAGTGTTAACACAGGAGCCTTTTCAGAGCACTTGTCAGCTGCCGGTGTTGAGACGTGGTCCACCGCACTCCAGCCAGACGTAACCCTGGAGTCCAGGATGCCTCCCCAGACTCCCCCTTGCAGCCTCCCTCCCCCACACCCCTTCCCCCAGGCTTTTGGGCTCAGCTGGAATAACAACATCATTCCTGCCTGGCTGCCGCTTCCTCTGCTAATTCATCTGGCTTGCATTGACGCACAGAGGACCCTGGGGTGCACAGTCCCGGAGGATGTGACATATGAATGAGCACCGTGGCTTTGGGGCCCCACCAAGAGGAGTCAGCAGATAAACCACTTGCAGACGGCTTTACAATAGGGAGGAAGCTTCTGGAGGCAGGGAGCCCAGTGGGCTAAGTTGTTGCCTTGGCTGGTGAATAATAAGGCCAATCCTGCCACTGCTCATGGCTTTCCACGTCACTTTAGACACGTGACTTCTAAGTTTTAGCTGCATCTGCCAGGGAGGGAAAACCCACAGGCCAGAGCTGAGCCCTGCTCGGGGCCTGAACGGGTGTTTTGCCATTCAGATATGCTCTTTTTAGCATCCCAAGACCTCAGTCCAGCCTCCAAGAATCTGAAACCTGCAACCACAAACTGGACATTATTTCCAATGTGCTTTCAGACGTTGATGGTCTTTGAGTCTAAAAACTGGGTGGATGAGGGCTTCCCTGGCGGCTCAGTGGGAAAGAATCGCCTGCCAATTCAGGAGACACAGGTTCGATCCTTAATCTGAGAAGACCCCGCATGCCACAGAGCAGCTAAGCCCATACACCACAACTTCTGAGACTGTGCTCTAGAGACAGAAACCACCACCACTGAAGTCCCCGCGCCCTAGAGCCAGCGCTCTGCAACAAGAGAAGCTGCCGCAAGGAAAAGACTGGGCCCGGCGACTACAGTGTACCCCCGCTGGCCACAACTAGAGAAACGCTCGCTTAGCAACAAAGATCCAGCACAGCCAAAAACGAAATAAGTAAATAAATAAAATTTTTAAAATAAAATAAAAATGGGGATGAGGCCAAGATTAGACGGAAAATGAAGTCTCAATTTAAAACCTCAAGTTCCTCTTCCAGCCCCAGGAAGAGGGTGCCTCGTCCTCAAAATCCCAGGATCAGGACCGCGTCCCGCCTGTGCTCATAACCTGCCTTCTGTCCATGGCCCGCCATGCCCACATCAAACCGTCTGTACAGTCACAGAAATATATCATTTCTGCAACACACGTCAGGAGTTGCGACTCTGGGGAGCCTTTCGTGGCGTTAATCAAAGACCAAGATGTCAGGGAGGAGGCCATGTGTGGAAAGTGTCAAGAGAGAGCTCTCAGGCCCCAGATAAATGACCTGCTCCTTCCCGGCTGATTTACTGTGAATTTCTGCAGGATCTCAGGCAACTTGAAAGAGAGCCAAGAGCGAACCACACGGCACCCCAGGGCGGTGCGCAGTCCTTCCAAAGCATGACTGGCCAGCGCCTGCAGGCAAGGGCCAGGGGAGGTGGCAGGGGTCTTGGGGGCTTGGGGGTGTCCCACAGGCTGGCGGCAATTCCTTTGATCTTAGCAGGACGGGATGAGCCATGGAGCCCTGTGAACCACACATTTCCTCCATGAACTTGGGACAGTGGTAGCGACCCAACAGAATCGTTTGGGGTTGAACCTTGTGAGAAGAGGCAGCAGGCTGAGCTGGAAGTGGGACTCGCGGGCTGTGGTCTCCTGGTGACTACAATCTCCCAGCTTAACTCTTCTGTGCCCGGTGTTCCAGCCACCACCAACGAGACCTCATAAATATTTACACCCGGCGTGCGTTGCGATGCTCAATTAATTGCTCCTGTGACGCACTTTGAGAGCCTCGGAGGATAGGTACCATGCAAGGACCAGGGGTTATTAAAGGCACAAACAGCTAAGCTCACAGCAGACTCATCCTTCAGAGCTTTCATTTCCCCAGGGCTTTTCAGATCATTGCCCGAAATCTAGGGAGAAGGAGCTTCCAAAAGCACACTGTCCAAGGGGGAATGTGGCGGCCAGGAGAAGACCTCATTGGTCTTCCCAGATAACTTCACCACTGAAGACACGCAAAGACCTGAAACTATTTGGAAAAAAATAAATAACAATTCATTCTCACTAGTCATCAAGGAAGTGAAACAGATAAAAAGAATCAAGTAGCAAGTAGGAGAAGTTGTTTTAAATGGTTTTAAATGATCGTGGATTTAACAGTGGTAAGATGTGATGAGATGATCACCCCTCACTCTCTAAACAAGAATATAGATTGAAAGATTGATGCAAACCATCCAGAAGGCACATGAGTGATATGAAACAAGGGGCTAAGAAGACCCACATTATCATTGTCAGACACTTGCACTACACTTGATAGAGTCTCTCCAAGGAAATACTCGGTGATCGGATTCAAAATGCAATCAGGGATCCACAATGCCACATGATTTACAGTTGCAAAAGGGAGCATTTTCCCCTCCAGAAATCACACAGCAGATAAATATGTTTTTGAGTAATAGTTAAAGATCTACAATGCAGTTTTCATTGGAGTACAACTGCTTTACAATGTCATGTTTCTTTCTTCTGTATAATGAAGGGTCCTCCCTCCCAGCTCCCTCATCCCTCTCCTCCAGGTCATCACAGAGCACTGAGTCTGAGCTTCCTGCGCTTCATAGCAGGTTCACACTAGCTATATACTTCACCCATGGTAGTGTGTATATGTCAGTCCTAACCTCCCAATTCATCCCTCCCTCCCCTTCCTCCAGCACGGGTTCACACATCTTTTCTCTATATCTGCGGGAGCCTATATATTGTTTCATATTATTTTTAGGCATCTATGTATCAAAATGCATGCAGATATCCTCATACACACATGCACACATATGCCTGAGCCTTGCTGAAATATTACCTGTGGTGTTGACTATTTTTTTCTAGATGCATTTCTCTATTTTCTAAATTCTCTGTAGTGAGATGTTCCTTTGGGTCTAGAACAGCATAAGCACAAAGGAAGTGCTCTATAACTGGATTTGTGACCTGTCTTCGATGACTGCCTGCTCCTCTGGGGAGGACAATGAATTGAATGCAGCAGACACTTACCTTGGTTCTCTTTTCCATCCTAGGTCATGGCCCAGAAACAACAGTGCCACAGGTAAGTCAGGGCCCCCCAGGCACCTAAGTAGTGGGAATGTCAGCAGGAGTCTATTATTCCTCCTTCCATCCTTTTCCATTTCTCCTTGAATAAAACTATTGGCCTGATCAAGGTGACTTTAGTGACTTAGAGTCTTTCCCTCTGATTGCTCCCAGGCTGGAAGTCTATGACATCCACAGCTTTGGAGATGAGGTGGAGATCCTGGCTCTCTGTTTATTAGCTGCGTAGCCTTGGATGAAGCACAGATCCCTGTGGGCCCCAGTTTCTTCACCTGCAAAATGGGTAGAACTCTGCCAGAGGGCCAGTATCTGTGGCTACTCATTAATGTTTGTCCAACTAAGCAGTACATGATGGGCTCCCCCTAAAATATGTGTTGGGTGAATGAATGAGTCAGAAACCACTTTTTGTGCTTCTCCTACATCTTTTTTAAAGGGCCTAGTTCCTGTTAGTAGACACTTAGTTAGGACCCTGTTAAAGTTTGAATAAACTATTATATATGCTTATTCATCTTAGAGTATTGTTATGTCAAGGAAGGTCCCATAAAATTTCCTAGAAAACTGGTGGCTAGAAAAGATGACTGTAATGAGACTTAAAAAAAAGAGAGAGAAATCGGGAATTCCTTGGCTTTCCAGTGGTGAGGACTGCAAGCCTCCACTGCCAAGGACCTGAGTTTGGTCTCTGATCGGGGAACTAAGATCCCACGAGGCATGGCCGAAAAAAAAAAAAAAGAAAGAAAATGAGAAATTGACCAGAAGGAGTGTACAAAGAAGCAATAGAGGCTTTGGGAGTGATGTCATCACAAATGAATTCACAGGATTCACTGTATTATATTATACATAATGAATTATATTATATATAATGAATTATTCTTTATATTATATGTAACGTGTTATGTTCATATAACATACGTTGGAGAGTATAACCAGCACCCAGTGTGCCCCACACAGCAGCGAGGAGGAGGAAAAAGCAAAATCAACTTTGCAAGTATGAATGTAAATGAGGAACAAACAAGCGCCGGGTCTAATGCTTCTTACAGAAGCTGCTCAGTCAGGTCCTAAGAGAGGCTGCACGGACTCAAGGCGTGCGTAAACTCAGTCGCTCAGTTGGGCTGGACTCTTTGCAGCCCCGTGGACTGTGGCCCGCCAGGCTCCTCTGCCCATGGGATTCTCCAGGCACGAATACTGGAGTGGGTTGCCATTTCCTTCTCCAGTTCTCTCAAGGCTGTTGTTCCTAAATTGTACTAAGTCTCTGTTGTCAAGTATATTCTCCCCACATGCTTGCCACCTCTGAACACTTTCTACCACCCACTTAGACTTTGGAGGACAGGGGCGGAGGGGCTGTAGAAAATTCTAAAGGGGATGGTGCTTCAAATGAGGTTGCTAATCTGATTCGGTGGCCGGCGAATGCTAAGTGTGAGCTGTATTCTCTCCCCTGGGACTTGTTCTCCGCCTGCCTTAAGGGAGAGGAAAGCTGACAAATGGGATTTCATTTCATTAACCGCATTCTAGAGACACAAGCAAGGGAAAGAAAACAGATCAGCTCCCCCCCAAAAGTTGATAGAGATGAAGCTGCCCAGACTTGCCCAGAGCACTTGATTCTACACCCTAACAAAAGCAGTTAGTGAACCATACTACCCCAGCCTCTGCAAGCTTACACACCATGGCCAGTGTCTACTGAACTAGAATAAAGCTGATATAACCAAAGACGCACGTGATGATTTATATAAAAGACAGTTCATCACCATGATATTTATAACATTCCCAGGTACTTTAAAGGTGCTTGCAATTTTTTATCATGCGACTCATTGAAAATATGGTGAAAATATGGTTGAAATTAAAAGAGTGTCTGTATGAAAGAATACTACATAGACATTAAAAATGATCTTGAAGCCGCCATTGAGGGGTATATTATAGCAAGGTATTATATGAAAGGGCAGGCAAGAAAACATGCACACACATTTTGATCATATGGACATAGTTTATATCATGTCTGTATATATGTGCTTGTGTGTGTGTTAGTGATTTTGCTCTAATTAAATATTTATAGTGGCTATCTCTCATTTGGGAAAAAATCTGCCTGCAATGCAGGAGACCTGGGTTTGATCCCTGGGTCAGGAAGATCCCCTGGAGAAGGAACTGGCAACCCACTCCAGTGTTCTTGCCTGGAAAATCTCATGGACAGAGGAGCCTGGTGGGCTACAGTCCATGGGGCCACAATGGGGTCACACAACTTAGCAACTAAACCACTATATCTTGGTATGGGAACACTATTGTGACTTTACTTCTCTTTTTTGTTCATCTGTATCTTGTGATTTTCCTACAGCAGCATATTTTTTATGCTCAAAACAATCTATCAAAAAAAAAAAAATCTCTAGGCCTACGAGAAGACAGACACATATCCAAACTTGGACAATCCGTCAATACCAACATCTTTTGTGATGTTGATAAATAGAAAACAGTGTCAAGTTTTTCCACAAAATAAACTCAGGAGATTGTCTCCTTCCACTGAATAAAGATTGATATTGCCACTGAATAAAGATTGATATTATAGAGGACAGCCCATTTAGAAAGTGCGTCCTTCTGTCTTAAGTCACCACACACCATAAAAAGTCTGATAAAGATATTTGTTGATTGACTCAACTAAGACAACAAATCTCATTTTGCACAGGAATCCTTGTTTTGTTTTGTTTTTTCCTAAGGAAAATAAATCTTAAAGGTTTTTTGTTTTGTTTTGTTTTTTTACCCTCACTTCTAAAAGAAAAAATAATACAAATTTTAAGACTTGGCGGGGAGGGAAATGGTAGGTAAGGAATATGTGAGCATCCACTGCCGCCTGCTGGCCATTTCTAGGTAGTGCAATATCTGTATTAATACAGCAGAGGCTCGTTCTCCCCGAAATGCTGGGGAAGTCGGTGAACAGGAACAAATTGAAATGTTAACAACTGAACTGTAGGAACAAGCTCTCCACCCAATTTTCATAAGCACAAGCTAGGATTCCAATCATCCAAGGCTGATAAGCCCACGGATTTACAACTGCCTTCAAAATCCAGTGTGTATCAGAATCTCAGCTGCGAAAAACGCTTATCACAAGCCCATGCCACGGTTTGTTCTTTGGCAGAGCTATAGTGAGGCCAGAAGGATAATTCTAATTCAGGTAGTGCTAGGATAGTCTTTTGAGAATCACTGGCTGAAGAAAAATGTATAGACAGGTGGATAGAAATGTACCAAGTCAGCCTGAACCAAGAGGCAGCTTGCCTGTTTAACTATCACCATTCATTCATCCATCATTCATCCATCATTCATTCATTCATCCATCTATCCATTCATTCAACCAACTGAGGTAGTTTCTTAATATGTCAGCTACTCTAACCAGCTTCGACCACGAGTTTTTGTTTGTTTGTTGTAATTAATAATAATTCTACTTAATGCACTTATCAAAGCACATGTAACATCAGTACACTAAAATACTCTAAAAAATACAAAATGCCATCACAATTCAATAAGAAGCCTTGACCACAAGTTTTTGAAAAGGGAAATATAAATGAAAGTTTCCCAGGACTCAGCTAGTCTGAGATGCTCACACCATACTTTACAGATTAGGGAACTAAGGACTAGAAAAGGGAAGTGAATTTCCAAGAGCTGTCTGGCGAGAACCTTGAACTTGTTGTCCCAGCTCCCAATAAATGTTTCGCATATAGCTATGTCTGCAAGTTTAGACTATTTGTGACTTGAAATTCACAGTTCATAATCTTCAGACCAGGAGACTATGATTCAGTGAATAAAACTGAAATTTATTCACTGAAAACTGAAATCTAGCCAGAAGTGCTAGATGACTGAGCAGGTAGGTAGATTGATAGATAATTAATAAATGGATAGATAGAGATTTAATGTGTATTAGATATATAACATACATAAACTTGTTGTTCAGTTCCTAAGATGTGTCCAGCTCTTTGAGACCCCATGGAGGGCAGCACACCATGCTTCCCTGTCCTTCACTATCTCCTGAAGTTTGCTCAGTTTCATTTCCGTTGAGTCAGAGGTGTTATCTATCCATCTCATCCTCATAGATAAATTACCTATGTCTATATATTCTATTTCTGTTCTTTCTTTCCCTTCCTGCTTCCCTCCTTTCTTCCTTCTTCCTTCTCCTCTTGACTATATAAGTCATATAGTCAAGATTTATTCAACATCATAATGCTTGACTCAGACACAGTGAAAGTAACTCTAGGAAGTCCCTTCCTGCCTTTCCCTACGGCCATGGATGGATGCCAAACAGAAGATGTTCTAAAGTTTGGGACCAGCCAGGGTGCAGAGTGTAAACTACCCCCCTCTTCACAGACCGAGAGGAAGAGCAGGCTGATGCCTTCCATCCCCAAATACCTTCAAGTTTTTAAAGGATAAAAGTGGAGAAAGGCAGCCTCATGTGGGAGAAAGAACCTGGGCTGTGAGTGTGGAGCTCGGAATTCGAATACCAGTTCTCTCATGACACCAGTGAGTCCTGAGAAAGAGAGAAAATGGAAAGAAGTTAACCTGTCAGGTGGGGTGCCAGGCCTTTTATAAGCTCGTCTAATTTAGCTGTAGGGTACACATTTTATTCTCCTCAATGTATAATTAGCTAAACAGGGCCCAAGCAAAATTAGGGAACTTGTAGAGACCCCAATAGCATAGAACTCAGCTTCATCACAGCACACGTGTTAAGCCCCAAACAGTATCAGCCTCAGCTGCTCAGTCATTGACTCCCAACCTCATGGCTAGAAGGGAGATCTGCTCGAAGAATCCTTCCGAATAACTGACAGGTGCTTGTAGATAGTTGAATGCTGGAAAGGCACATATTTTGTCTGGAAATGGGCACTAACTAATGAACAAATTCCAAATATAGATCTGAAGCTCTAAAGATCTTGGCTGAGTGAAAAAAGATTTGGCCTTGAAGTTGACCTTGAAAAGACATGTAGCACAGAACACAGCAATTCCTTAGGAGGGCACTGAGCCAGGGAGTTATTC